GGGGGAGCAGAGGGTGTTTGTGCTTGCCAAAGACAAAGAAAAAGGGGAGGAAGAAAGCATACCCCAATGGGGGATGGTCATGCTGTAATCCCTTCTCCTCCATTTCTGCATCCCACACCTGCCTGCTTCGCACTGGGGCTGGGGTTCAAACAGTATGGCAGGCCATGGGGAATCCAGCTCCTTTAACCACTAGGCCAAAAGGTCAGCCTTGAAAATAGAATCCTGAAGACAGACTCACACATCCATGTTCACAGTAACATATTCACAATAGCTAACGTGAAAGCAATCCAGACGACTGGATAAGCAAAATGTCATATACACATCAATACACTCATTCTTAAAAAATAGAAAATACTTAAAGATACCATATTAATTAGGAGATGTCTACATGAAGAAGACAGAATGAAGAGACAAAGACAATTTTGTATTTAAGCCCTATACCAAGCTTATAAAGTTAAGCATTCCTTATCTAATATAGTAAATCTTGCTATGATTTTCCACTTCCACAATGGCAGGTAGTATGATTTCTGTATAAATGCTTCTAGGATTTAGACCAGGCAATATAATTAACTAGACAGTTAAAAATTTATTTTATAAATTACATTTTCCCTGCTATAATAGCTAAAAGCCACATTGTCAACAATTTTGACATTCAGGAAAGAGTTAATAAATTTTCAATAACTGTTGGACCTCTTCACTTCTGAGGCCTAATGTCTGTCAATGTCTTTATTTAAATTTAAAGTGATCTATAATGACCCACAAATAGACTTTCCTCCTTTCTTTTTTCTTTCTTCTTTTTTTTGGAGAGGTTTTTGCTATAGGGCGCATGCATTCGCTAAAAAGAGATAGAGAGACAGAAGGTGAGAAATCACCTCCCAGGGGAGATGGCCACACCGCAATCCCGTCTCCTCCATTCTCTTCTTGGGATCTTGGGCACTTACGCACACGCGCCCAACGTGAGTTTAAGCCACTGGGTCCGGGAATCTAACTGCAGTTGACTACATGGGAGTCCAGCAACATGGCCATTACGTCAACTGCTCATCCCAACTTTCCTTTTTTCTGTGATTTAAATTTACTGTAAATAGGTAAGGCACAACAAAAAGTATTAGAAATTATGTCATGAACACCAATGTACTCACTTCTCAATTTAACAAATAAACTGTTACCAATCTGGCTGAAGACCCTGGTGCATCTCTACCCATACTCATCTCCCTCTCCTCATCCAGCAGTAAGAATCACTTTCCTAAACTTGGTGATTATCATGTACATGTTCCTGTGACTTTAACATTTTTCAAAAGCCAAAAATGACAATCCTTGCTATTGAACACAAAACAACTGATCTCAAGTTATGCCTTTAAACTGTTTTGAAA